TGCACCACCAGGGAGGCCCCTCTAGTTAAAATTTTTTAAGATAAAATGCCCAAGCAAAAGAAAACAATTATTACTAACAATCCCAACACCCAAAGATAAAGAGTAGAAACACTTTACGGTTTTCACCATTAATCCTGATTTTTGTTTTCTGTTCATAGTAAAAGTGAAAAAATATATATATTATTAGTAGAATTGTTCTCAAGGAGAAACCATCTTTGTTCAGGAACCCACCTAAATAGACTGTGAACTTGAGGTTGTCAGGCTTTGCTTGAATCTTCTAGGACAAGAACTGAGGAATAGCTACATGACCTGTAACCCAAGAGGACAGGGGGCGGCCTGGCATGGTAGAAAACTGGTGTTTACATTTTAAATAGAAAAAAATGACTAAATATCAAAGACAGACGGCCCCCAGCAAGTTGGACATTGCAGACCCAATATCTGAGTTATAGTTTTAGGAAAATTTTGGAAGCTTTAAATAATAATGGCAACAGTGGTGATGATAATGACGACGCCTCTTGCATACTGATGGGTGGGAGGAGAAGCCCATGGGGAATCCAAGACAACTACCTGGGAAATCAAGCAGGGAAATAAAATCCCAACATTTGCCAGGCACAGCCACAGACAGCCAGTCAGGTGAGGGGATGCCCAGGTTTCTGATCTGGCCCCGTTAACAGTGCCTGGACCCGCTCTCCACCCTCACTTAGCTCTTTGGAGAATCTTTGGCACCGGCTCCGTGCCAGTGGGGTGAGGAGTAGAGAGGGCAGCGTGAGTGGGGTTGGCCAAGTATGAATCCATGCGTGTTACCACTGCATGTTCTGTCCTTCAGTTCACAAATTCCCTCACCGCCGAGGTGAGGGAAAGCTGCCAGAAGTCAAGAGTCAGGGATGTCTGGGGGCTGGACTTTAAAGAAGGCACAGTGTGTGAGTGACGGGATGGAGGCAGTGGTGGGGAGGCAGCCACTCCAGGCTGGACACGGTCTGTTAAGGCATGGAAGCTGGGAGAGAGGGAAAGGAGTAACCCAGCCGAAGAGAAAGGCCACGCTCAGGTCGGAAATCCAGAGCAGGCTCCATTTCGGGAAGCCAGACGGAAGGCTGCACATGACGGATGAGGAAACGCAGAGCCTGTGGGGTCTTGATGGGGACCCCACTTGGCAGAAGTGGCGCATCAGAAAGGTCAGGGCTCCCGAGCCAGAGGGATGCAGTGCGGGTAGGGTGGGACGCACCGAGGGCCGCTATGGTGATTTAAGTTGAAAGTGATGCGGGATGTGACTGAGCGGGCCGCCTGGTCCCGTCTTCAGGTGTGAGACGGTGCCATGCACCAGGCCCGGGCAGAACGCCGGAAAGAATGCAAAACCTTCCCCAGCTTCTGGTGGAGAAACAGGAAATTAAGTAAGTGCCTGTGTTTACTGAATCTTCTAAAATTCCATTGGGTTGACAAGACCCACAGGCATCACCTTAGGAGGCGCAGGGGCGAGAAGAGGGCGTTGGTGGGAGTCGTGTGGGATTGTTTACAGAGGAGTAACCTCCCCGTGCAGCCACACCAAGCTAGAGCACAATCAGTGACCCGAACCACACAACGCTAGTAGCAGGTGGTGCTGGAGCCCGGAACCAGGTCCGCGGGTCACACTCACTGGCCACACCTGGCGCGGCGGGAACCCCGGGCTGGGAGGGGAAGGTTTGCAGATCCGAGAGGCGGCAGCCCTCAGGGCCGGTCCCAGGCCCCAGAACTGCTTCCTTGGAGGAAACAGAAAGCTTGCAGAGGGAGACAGACCACTCCTGCACTATCAGACACCCCAATGAGTAAAAGAGGGAGAGCAAAGAGGGGGTGGGAAACATTTCCTGCGAGAGTGATTTCTGGATAATTGATAACATTGACAGGACATCAGAAACTATTTCCTCGCGGGGCGCTGACACGCTTCTCTCTGGGGGTGGTTAAGGATGTTTGATGACAATCGTGTGGATGGAAATTTTATATCATTTCCCCGACTAGAAAGCAAGGAAATGGACAAATGAGTCCCCCAGACGCTATTTAGTCTCTATCTGTTCTTCTGGGATATTGGGTTTCTCTCCTCTCCGAACCGTTTAGGAAAGTGCTCCTGGTGATGACTGGTGCTTCCTACTACAGGAATGAGGCCAAGAGGGAAAAAAATGCCAGATGTTAAAAACAAAGGGAAGACAGTGAGACACCCCGGACACACGCGGGCGCCGGGAGTGGCGGGATAAGGCGCCGCCGCGTGTCCCGGTGGCCAGGTGAGGCCAAGCTCGCCCGATGGGGCAAGTGCTAAGCAAGGACTTCCTGCGTGGCCCAGACACACACCCAAAGACACACACCTGAAAGAATGCAAAATCTTCCCTAGCTTCTTATGGAGGCTATTAACACCCCCAAACACTTAGGGTGAGAGAGAGAGAGAGAGAGAGACTGTGAACGTGTGTGCATGGAGAGAAGGAAGGAGAAGGGAGGAGGGAGCAGTAAAAAGAAACAGACGTGTTTTAATGCATAAAACTTGGAAACACCACACGACCCGGTGCAGAATCACAGCGACAGCCTTGCTTTACCCAGCAAGATGCACCGTCAGCAGGCCCCTCCGCGCCCCCCATGACACAGGCACACCCCATCAAATTACTGAACTTGTTAACTTCAAAAAGTAGCACATGTTGGGGGGCTCTTTGCCATGGGGGCCATCTCTGGGTCTGAGCTCCTACTCTCTGTTCTTGCTGCCACACCCCACTCGTCTGGCAGAGGCTCCCCGCCCCTTGGCTCCGAACCCCACTTCACCCACATCTCCTCCGAGAACCTGTGTGATAGGCCTGCAAGTATTCACCAGGCTGCGTTTATTCAAGTGGTCCCCGCCAATAACCCTCCTGTCTAGGCCCCGCTAATTTATGAAAAGGGATCTTGTGTAGGTTTAAATGTAGTCTCCGCCATATTCCATTTAATCCAATAAATATTTATTGGGCGCCCACCTGGAATTGTGCTATGCACTGTGTGGAATATAAAAGAAATATATAGCACAGTCTCCTGTCAAGGAGTTTGCAATATTCCTGGGAATAAAACTTGGATGCTGAAGTAATTACAGGACGCAAGATGGTACAGAGCAGCGCCATAAAATTATGTAACCAAGACCAAAATATCAGGCACAGACAACATTATGTCTGGCCAGGGCTGGCGGGATGGAGCTTTGGGGAATAGTTCACCAAGGAGATGGAACTTGAGTTGTCCTTGAGAGAGGCCTGGGGCTGGCTGGGGCCGTGGTAGAGTTGCTGTGGCAAGACGGCCATGAAGCCTGGGCCAGAACAGCAAAACCTCACCTGCCAGGAGGAATGTCCCAGCCTAATGGAGAAATGAGGGGGCCTCTCTGGTGGCCGAGGGTGAAGTCTCCCCTCTACCAACACCGTGGTCAGAGTTCGTCCCTCGCCCGCCGCTCCCCTCAGTAGATCCACCTGTTCTGCTCCCCCCTCTGTCTCTGGTAAATCCTCTCAACCCCTTCACCTCTGGCCTGCACCCCAGTTCTTCTACACAAAAATAAAAGGGGGGTATATATGGGCCTTCCTGGTGGCGCAAAGGGTTAAGATGCAACCTATGAAGCAACTGGCAGCAACTACAGCACAAGTTCGATCCCCGGCCAGGGAGCAACCCACATGGTGCAGCAGACCTCTCCTCTCTCCCCGCTGCTCCCCTCAGTGTATTTCAATCTGCCTGTTCTGTTCCCCACTCTGTCTCTGGTGGATCCTCCCACCCCACCACGCCTCTGGCCTGTACCCCAGTTCTTGTATGCATAAATAAATCTTTTTAAAAAAGAAAAAAAGGGGGGGATAGAGCAGAGTTTGTGGGGAGAAGCTGGAGAGAATGAATATAATGAAACCACCAGAAGCTCTGAAGGGCACGGAGAAGAATTTGAATAGCTCCTTGTCCCCCCACTTCCTGGGCGTTGATTCTGTCACTGCCCTCAGAGAGCGCGTTCATAGGCACCAGCGAGACATGCTGAGAGAGCGGGCTACAGTGGAGGAAGCCGGGACTCCACCTCAGAAATGACCTTGGCAAGGTCACTGCACTGCTCCGTCTTCAGCCTCCACCGTGGCGGGACAGCACCAGCAGCGCCACACCGAGGGCGGCCGTGATGGCTGAGATCACGCGCAGTGTGCCTCGGCGGCCAGGGCTGGGCCGTGTGTCACGCGTGCACAAACTATTGGTTGACTGTCTTCTCTGTGCCCCACACTGGCTCAGCACCAGGGAAATGAAAATGAAAACACTCAGTGCTTATTCTCAAGACGCGAAGAGCACAGCTGACGAGTGGAAGGCGGAGCAGCTTGACGTCGCACATACTTGGAGTGGAAGCCCAGCCCCAGCGCTTATTATGTTACAGATCTGGGAAAACGAATTAGTCCAAGCCCCAGTTTCATCATCTATACCTGTGGTCTAACAAGGTTTCCGTATGGCTGACGAGAAGGAAATAGAAGTAGGAAGAGACAAGCGCAGTGGGAAGGACTCCGTAAGCGCGACAGGACTTCTCCCACCTCGGGAAGGCCATGACTGGAAGGGCGTTAGAGAGACGTCTCCTGCATGGCGCTGTCTCTGCACCGACACTCAGACAGCAAGTGGGACTTGCCGAGTGGGCACAAGAGAGGAGACGGCCAGTGAGACGCGAAGGGCCTGGCGTCCTCTGGACATGCGGGAAGTCAGCATCGTCAGAGCTCAAGGCCAAGGCAGAGCCAGAGGTGGGAGGGGGCTGCTGGAGAAGGCCAGACGACCAGGAGCCTGGGAGCATGGCAAGGGGTCAGAGCTCTGCCAGGGGCGGGGGTGTGGGGGAGAAATAGAGAAGTAAAGCAGCAAGCTCGACTTCAAGAGTTGCAAAGTTGGAGGGGGCAGGAGAGCATTAAGAAAAAAGATCCAGATGGAATGATTGTTGGAGATATTTAAGAGTTGGTGCCAACGGAATTTAGTTTTGCTTCTTGTGTGTTTCTCTGGGGGGCGGGAGGGTGAGGTCGCACTGGGCTGTGCCCTCAGTACGGGCGCTGGGGCTTGCCCAAGGCGGTCTCCATGCATGAAGTCCACACATTCTGCCAGTGGGTCCTGAGCAATGAACAACACAGGGGTTGACAGCTGAGCGGATGTAGCACACAAGCTTGTCATAGGTCATCCTCGTGTGCTCCACAGCCACCGCCAGACACCGCGCCTTCTTCTTCATCTGGAACTCAACCGTGGACTTCACTTCATCAACTCTGGCCACCATGTTCTCATTGTGGATCAGCAAGGAAGGGAATTTGCCAGCCTTGGTCAGACCTGCATCCAGATTCACAGGACCTGATCAGACATTCAGAAGCCAAGAAGTCATCGCACTCCTTGGCCAACTTCTTCACCAACTTCTTATTCTTGTTGAGTTTCTCCCATGCCTCATTACCCATGTGGGGGCCACCCACTCCCACCGCCCAGCTGGCCCCCCAGGACACACATGGAGAACTTGGGGCAGGAGTGGACTTAAGTCTGACGGTGCCTAAGAAATGTTTGTCCTCCCGAGGGCCAGAGTTCTCCAAGCTGATCTGTAGCGCCGTCTCCAAAAACCCACAGCACTTACGCTGGTTCAGGACTCTCCAAACCGCCTCAGAGACACTTCAAGGAAGAATTTGCTGCTCTTGGTGCCTCGCACCACAGTAACCAGGAAAGAGCTAGAATCTAGCTTTGATGGGATTTTAAGGATGGGTAACAACGAGCAAAGAGCGTAGGATCCTTGTCCTTTTCCGGCTGGAAGATGAGGCAATGCTTGAAAGGAGGAAAGCGGACCTGAAACCTACCTGAGGCCCTGGGGCAAAGTCACCGCGACTGAAAAAATATCCTTTTTTAAAAAAAGAATGTAGATAGGAAGCAGGAATGGAGTAAAGATGATTAGACGGCCTGGGACATGAATTGGGGCGCCCAGGTGGAGACTCGGATGGAGGGTGGAGACCCCAACTGGCAGCGGCTGAAACCCGGCCCTTGTTGACTGGTGGGGACGGAGAATCCCGCAGGTCTGAATGCTGGGGCTGCTCAAGAGGACACTCGGCCCCTAGGGCCAACGAACAGACCCCAGCAGCAGAGTCTGTTGTCTCCCCAAGGTCAAAGAAGTCCCTTTTCTGGCATAGCTCCCCAATACGTGACACAAGTTTCATCTGTTTGAAAGAAAAGAGGGGGAGCGTGTGGGGAGCAGCCTTTGGATGCTGCGGGACGGCTTACGGGATGACAATTACAAACACGCCGTCTCTGGAAAAGCACTTCATTTACAAAGCAGATTTGACAGCTCCCGTTGCTTTTTGGCGGAACCTTCCTGCCCGGCCCCTGCACGACCTGGTGAGCCTCGATTACAGCTTTGCTGCTAGCTCTACCGCAGAGACCCCCTAAAAGGGGAGTGATAAATGAGGTCCTGTCAGGCTTCATTCCCTGGGTGGCCTTGAATCTCTGCCGTTATCTGTTACCCTGACAGTGATGAACACAAGGCAGGCAGCTAACGACACCCCGATTCATTACCCAAAAGGAAGGGAGAGCAGAAATAAAGGGAACAAGGCTGCCCTGTCCCCGCAGTCACGCACGCCCTCTCCCTCCTCCAGGCCTGAGCGGTGAGCACTGGAGCCCCCCAGTCTCCACAAGGGTGCAGCGAGCACAGGACAGAGCTAGTCCCGCCAGCTGGCCCGAGACTGTGCCCTGGCCCTTGATGGTAAAGCTCTTCCCGGGCCTCCCAACTCCAGAAAAAATAATTAGCAACGGATTGTTTTTTTCCAGCCCACTCTCCATCTAGAAAAACAGCCCACTCTCCATCTAGACAAAAAGCAAACACACACGAAGGCCAGCTCAACCGCTTGCCCCAGCACACGCGTCCCAGCCTTGGGAGATGTTCTCTGCGGGACGTGGGAGCCGGGGCCTCCGCGACAGCAGGCAGCGGAGCCGGCCGCGCCCATGAAAGCTCGTCGTGCGTCTGCAGGTGGTGGCTGCTCCCCCCGAGCCATATTCCCCCCAATCTTTGTACCCGTTGGTTTTCCCAGGCCTGGTGGGAAAGGAAGGCGTTCTTTTCCTGCGACGGGACTTCCAGGGACGCCTGGACACAGGCACGTTCCAGAAACACACCTGGAATGTGGTCAAGGAAGACAGGACTTGCCTTCTTCATCCAGCCCGGCTTAACCCAGACGTTCTTCGGCGCCGTTTCTGGGCGCAGGCGAAGAGGAAGTTTTTGAAAAGAGGAGAAAATTTCCCTGGGCAAATAGATGCAAGACACCCGCGTTTACTTCTTCTCCTGGTTCCGGTTCTTTTCCTTATTTCCTGGTCTCTCCTACAGGACTTTGTCACAGTCTGTGCTCAAATGTGGAATTTGACTCCCCAAAGTGAAGACTACCTGTAGTATTGCTCAACCCATTTTCTTGATGCAGAATATTTTGATGCCTTCTGTGTTCTAGACCCATGGCACAACCACACAACCACACTTCGAGAACTCCTGGCCGAGACCTACCCACACACCCGTCTTCATGCTCCGCTTCCCCATCAACAAAGCCAGAATGACTGGCAAGCTCTGTTCTAAGTACCCGTGGGGAGACACCAGCTGGGGGAGGAACAGAAGCCAAAGAAGACGTGGGTCCTGCCAGCAAAGAAGCCATGACCTTCCTGTGCCCACGACCCCCAGCCCCTGTACCTCTGCTCTTTCTCCTTCACTCCATGTGAAAGAAAGACTGTGGGTTAAACAGAGGGTTGGCACAGAGGGAACGGCACAGCCTCAAATCGGGGCCAAGGCCATGGTATGATTGACACCTGAATTGATAGATGAATCTTCTCCTTGTCCTTTGCTAAAGATCAAATTGTCTTTCCTTAAAAAAAAAAAAAAAAAAAAAAAAAAAAAAAAAGGCAGCATCAGACATATCAGACATTACCATTTATTTTGAAAAGCACCTCAAGGTTTTTTCAATATAAATGTGTATAAAAATGGCGAGAGCTTCCAGATACCCACAAATGATAGCACCCATGTTCAACTCTCAGGCCAGGCATCATCCCCATGGCCACGGGACCTCGGTGGCAGGTGGGGACAGAGATCGCAGCTGAAGGGGGAGGCCTGTTTCCAAAATGCTAGCGGTGATGTCAGCCAATGATACCACAGTAAAAAATGTAATAATAATAATAGAATAAAAACAGTAAGTACTGATTCAGGACACGTCACTTTAGCACTGGACGACAACTTCTGTCTCCTGCTGGTGGCAGATATATCAGCAGGGCTTCTCATCTTGCCTTTTTGGTTTCTTTGAAAAAAAAAAAAAAAAGATTCTTATTTATTTATTTTTGCACAGAAGAACTGCAGTATAGGCCAGAGGTGCAGGGTGTAAGAGAATGCACCAGATTGGGGAGTAAAACAGGTGGATCCACTGGAATACACTGCTGAGGGGAGCAGCAGAGAGAGGGGGGGTGTCTGCTGCACCATGGGGGTAGCTCCCTGGCTGGGGATGGAACTCATGCTGCAGTGGTTGGTGATAGCTTCATAGAGCTGAGACTTTAACTCCTGTGCCACCAGGGAGGCACCTGCTTTTTGGATTCCTCTAACACAAAAGACCACCAATTATGTTCAAGATAACGTTGTCAAGGAGACCCAAAATCTGGGCTTCAACACAAAACTCAAAAGGAGACATGAACCAACCAGCTTTGCTGGGGACAGTGTGGTTATTGATTAAACCACAGAGCAAAGAAAAAAGTTTAAAACACACTGGAATTTTCATTATTCAAAGAATTTGAAACTCATCGCAAAAGCAGGGTATAAGTTGCCAAGTTGTACGGGCTAGAAATGGACTCTGCAGCCTTTATGATCTCTTTCATCTTTAAAAAGCAATCAGGATTCGGTGGGCAGCGCCGTTCACCCAGGAACTAAAGTAATATCTGGGAGAGATGAGACCATCGTTACAAATTAGAAGTAGCCCATCCTTCATTCTCTGCTATCTTCTCCCGAGGAGAAAGACTCGGAAAAAGCTTCCTGCATCTCCTGTCATGTGCTCCAGGAATTCAAAAGCCAGTCCTGGTGTTCCCTAAATACAGTGCAAAGAAAGGCATGTCCATTTTTCTGCCATTTTGGTTCCTAGTGGCAGATTATTGGGCTCCAGACCTCACCAACTTGACCACAGACCAGGATATAATTGTCTTCTGCCACCTCTTCTATGCAAAATGCTTTCCAATTTCTCAAAACCAAGTGCGTGCCTTTTACATTTCCTGCAAAGGTGTTTATTTCTATCTGGCCCACTGAGTGGTTCCATAGCTTCGCTTCCCACTGGTGACAAAGAAATGTCTGTGTTTCTAACGTGTCCGAGAGCTGGAGGATTAATGGGCTTGACGGAGGGCCTAGGAACACTGAGGCCAGGAAGGAATTCATCTTCTTAGTCTCTGAGTCCAGTGAACCACCAGAGAGATCATATTTTTAACTCTAAAAGACTTCTGGAAGTTTCCAGAATTTCTCCAGAGACACAGATCAATAGACCAGAAAAATCAAAAAAGGAGAGCGAGTTTGCCAGACGCCACTCACTTGCTGGGGTGCTTGACTTCACTAAGTGAAAGACTTTTAATGAAATTATTCTAACCCAGGAGCAAGTCCACCCTCTAGGGAAGCCTCCAAGCACAGCTGACGAGAAAGGGTGACATTTCACTCCAGGATCCAACCCTCCACACAGGGACGGGGGTGTCACTTGAGTGTTAATGTGCTCGGCTGATGAACAGTCTTCCCACAGCACAGGCCACTCAGAGTGACGCATGGAGCTGTGGGGCCAGGGCCATGATTCTGCAGACGCCTCCTCTGCTCTCCTCCAGCTGGCAGTAACTGGAGTGCACACCGCCTGATGGCTGTGAGGACTACCTCGACGTCTTTCGATTCTTGAATTAGCCCCCAGAGGTCAGCACTATGCTCACTGCCAGCAGCAAAGCAGAGTGATCTGCCCTGTTACCCTGAAGCAGTCATCAACCATTTTCAATGTTTAAAGCAAAGTCTAAGTTTTAAAAACAGCAAAGGAATCACAGGGGAGAGGGTGTGAATAACAAACCAACCTCCCGCTCCACAGAGCATCTCCTGAATGGCCCCTGCACCACCGGGACAGAGCACGCAGGTGTGCTGGCGGCAGGCTTTCTCCTCCTTCCGGAAGCCCCTTCTAGAAGCACCAGTGCCTGGCAGCTCCCTCAGTCACCCCGTCTTCTACTTGATACCTCTTTGCCTCGCCTTCCCTCTGCGGTCTCTGCCCATCCCTCTGTGTTAGCTTTGTTCCCCTTCCTCCCGCCTGGTACCTTCTTCTCTGATTTGGCAGCCACTGAAGCATCCGGGAGCCCAGACTCGGCTTACCTGGCAGGGGCCACCTCGGTGGCCCAAGAAAAGGGGACGCTAGGAAAGTGCAAAAACCTGAGCTGGAACAAAGCCGTCTTTAACTGGAAGTCAAAAGTATTTTCCTTGGCCGAGCCGCCTTGTGCTGTATTGTTAACTCCTATCAAAGGGGCTCATATCTCAGGAATGATGGGAAGGTTTCAGGCATGACTGATGGCTGGTCAAAGGCACATCCCCGGCGCGATAAGCCGCAGAGAGGCCCGCGCTGAGCGGGCGGGATTGCCGGGCCGGGCCTTTCAAAGCCCTTTCATCGCGGCGGTGACTGCAAGCACCGCGGGGCGAGAACGAGCCAGGACTTTGTGGAATATTCTTAACGGCTGATGTGTAATCCGTGCAGCCAGGGGTAGCAGCCCGAGGATAAAAGACTTAAAGAAATGGAGACACAAGGACTGCTTTTTTTTTTCAAGGCAACTTGGAAAGAAAAAAAAAAAGAATGAGAACAGTAAGATTTATGTTAACCCATTGGGAGTGCTCTGGAAATCTCTCTGATGAAGGATGGAGATCGCTTTGAAGCAGACTTTATTGAAGCATAAGTAAGCCTGGTGCCCGGGGACCGGGGTTGGCTGGGTCACTCATCAGTCTTCCTGAGTGACTTCCCTCCCTCCTGCAAATTCGTCCTGGCACCGGCTCCTGATGCTGCTCAGCAAAAGCAGAGGTTGGCACCTGTAACCCCGGAACAGACAGGAAGACGCGACCTCCCGCTTTACGCAGTACACACAATTTGGAAAAAGTAAATAAAAGCTTTGCTCCAGAAGAAAAACAGGATGACAGCAGGGTCCGCCACTGGCCACAGAGTGACGGGGCAGGGCGGCGGGGGCAGGAGGCGAGGCCCTTCTCCGAAGCCCTGACACAGAAGCTGGGAATCCACGGACTTGGGGACACCGACCAACGAAGAAGCTGCGCGGAAAGGCGTGACGAGCCAGTGCAGGGGACCCTCGGCTTTCGAGGTCACTGTAGCTCCAGAAACAAAGGCAGGCGCCTGCGGCTGAGCGCCCAACACAACCAGTGGCCTCAGCTGCCCGCACAAGCCGGTTCCACCAAGAGCACGAACCCCACATTAATGGCCACAGTGGTTCCTGGGGGGTATTAATAACACAGCTGGAGGCCCCCTCGCCTGTTGCAGCATTCTATACGTTGAAGATCTGTGGCAACTCTGCATGGAGCACGTCCACCGGGATCGTTTTCTCCACGTGCTCTCCTAGGCCTGTATCAGCCTGGAGGGGGGGGTGGGCAGGAGGGGGGGGGGCTGCCTTTCTCCCCTCTGTCCTTCATCTGCTCCGGCAAGTGTGTCCTGGGCACAGTGGCCATTTCGTTCTCTTTAGGCACCACCCTCCTTGCCCTTAACGTCTATCAGAATCTACGGAAGACTCGGAAGCAAAGCGACTTACCCACAGGCGCCAAGTGTGCACAGAGGGGAGGGGAGACTCAAGCCCCATCCCTCTCTTGTCTGAAGCTAAATACTTTCACCACCCCGAGCCGAGCTCAAATGAATTGTAACAAGGCATCTTAAAGTTGTTTCCTGCTTTCATGCAATCTGTACTACCCAAATCCAGTTTTTATAATCGGTAGTGGATACTTGTGGGCTATATTCCATTTAGCTAATGTTTGAATTTTTTCACACGAAAATTTGTCTTTTTAGGGCCTCCCCGGTGGCGCAGCGGGTGGAGCGCAGCGCTGTGGAGCTGTGCACAGCCCCCAACCCTCCGCAGCCTGCCCCCGGCAGCTCCACCGGGAGTGTCTCTCAGTTTGCTCCTTAAGTCAAACATAAACACTGTACTCCGGGGCCTCCTCACACAACCTCACACAACCTCACACAACCTCACACAACCTCACACAACCTCACACCCCAGCCCCGCTTTAAGGCCGGCGGCCCCCGCCCAGGCTGGCTCAGAAGGCTCATAACTTGCCTTCCTCACGAGCGACTTAGCTCCAAAGCAGGCTGTTTAGAGCAGCAGATAACAACCTCCCTTGAAAGACAGGAACGAGGCCTTGTGGAAAGCAGGGTCGGCAGCCAGCGCGGCCCCGGGAATCACCCGGCACCCCCAGGACTCGTTTCCTGGCGTGGCCCTAACGAGGCTGCGAGGCTGACGGATGGAGGCCTGCCCTCCCGCACCCCCTAATGTCTGTGATGCCCCAGTATTTTCTCTGCAGCTGAGGCAGGGAAAGTGGAAGGGATGGCCGTGTGGAAGAATTTTGTGCTCGTTAACGGAGGGAGTTTGAAGACGGCTGAGCGGCGGCCCGCGCTGCCAGGCTCCTTGGGCGGTAATGAGACTTCAGAGATTTATCTGCCTGCAGCCAGACCTCTTCTAAACCGTCCCCCAGATGAGGCTCCAGTCTATTTTAAAGCCCTCTTAACTCTTCCCTCCTGCACAGGGATAGAGAGAGAGCCGGAAAGTTCATTTACATCTCAAATCAGCATATCCGTGAGTCACCATAATTGGCCAAATAAAATTGAATCCGTGACACCAGGTAAGTGATTCTTGGATCATTCAGGAGGAAAGTGCTTTCCTATCCATTGCCTATTTATAGGCTCCGAACTAAGGAAATCCAGCCAAATCATTTCCTTGATCAAGATGATGTGGCTCTCCATAATCTGAGGCCTTTCACATTAAGGAGATTGAAAGAAATGCTCCCTCCACGCTGCCAGCATCCCGGGGGCTTTGCACCCCAGCTCCCAGAGAGCCCAGGGCTGCTCCCTCCCTCCTGGGTCCAAGTGCCACGGCCCTTTCTCACCACCTTCCTTTACGACCCCCCACAGACACACACCCCCCCCCCGCCCCCCCCACACACACACACCTTGCACTCTGTTCCTACTTTTTCTCTATGGCGCTTACCACCATCAAGCACATTATATGCATTTTATCTTTTTTTATTGTCTTTCTTAAGCTCCATGAAGGAAAATATTTTGGTAAGTTTTGCTCAGTTTTGTATCCCTAGTTGTTAAAACAGCGCCTAGGACACAGTTGCAGGCCTGATGAGAGGCTCCGAGGAGCCTCCACTTCCCGACGGCCCCGAGCCCCACTCGCCGAGGGGGACGCCACTCTTCAGCGCGCGGACTCGAAAGGTCCAGCCGCTGTTCCCACCCGCGTCTCAGCTCTAGTTCTCTAGAAGAGTCTGCATGGGCATTTCCAGCTGAGACCCTGGGGCCACAGCATCCTCATGACAGTCATGAGAGAGAAGGGGGCTCTAGCTGACCCCTCCAGATTATCTGTCTTATGTATTGGGGTTTCCTGTGAGACACCACTGAAGAGGAAGTGGCCCCACATCTAAAGACAGAGCTGGAAAATCCCTACCCTGGATCAGCAGAGAGCATGGAGGGGGTGACATCTACCTGGAGAGTACCTGTACCTCCAAATCATATGCAATGCTGTAACCCAATGTTTTAGAGACAGAGCGACAGACGGCCAGATATAGAGATATCTCTGCTTAGAATGTCAGAGAAACAAATTCACTTAATTCAAAGAATATTTTTCAGAGACGAAATATTTGTTTGTTTCCCAAATTATGTTTATTGAAGTAAAGTAGGTTTACACCTTTGTATCTCCTCCGGGAGCTGCTTGAAAAGCTCACCAGCATGCACTTTCATGCTCTGTCCACCCAAAGAACATTCCTAGACCGTCCATCAGATGCCCAGATTTGTGCAGACCCTGGGGATACACAGGCCATCAGGACATGGTCAAGCTCGCATTCCAAGGTCACGTAACAAGTCATAATATCCTGGGAAGTTTGGGGAAATGAAAGGATCACTGAGGAAAGATACAGGGAATGGTCTAGCCAGAGGCACCACTGAGTCTTGCGGACAGAGGGCAGTCAGGTGAGTATAAGATCCACCTTTGAGCACTATCGCCAAATATGGACACATTAGGCCAATCCACCTGAACGTATTAGTTGCGTATTTGACATAGCATGAGAGCAGAAAGTCCCAAGAATATGGGTTTAAATTTTTCTTTTTTTTTAATTTTTTACATCAATGTTCATTTTTAAACCATATTTGCTTCCCCCCACCCCCTCAGGTGTGGTCCCCATAGAGTTTCCTTCCCCAAGGCACCAGTGCACCATCACCTCAGTCCCCTGTGCGCCTCCCTCCCTCCCTCTGATCCCTCTCTTGCCTCTTCCCCTGCAGGATGTCTCTAATTTATAATTGTCTGTTTTTGCTTTGTTGTGTTTATACTGTTATTATTTTTTTACATTGATGTCTTATTTGACTCCCCTATATTCCTGCTATACGTGAAACCATCTGATATTTTTCTTTTTCCTTCTGGCTTATTTCACTGAGCATAATTCCTTCTAGCTCCATCCACATTGCTGGGAATGGCATGAGTTTATCTTTTCTGATTGCTGAGTAATATTCCATGGTGTATATGGACCACATCTTCTTGATCCAGTCATCTATCTTTGGGCATTTGGGTTGTTTCCAGGTTTTACCTATTGCAAATAGTGCTGCAATAAACATAGGGGTACAGGTGGTCTTCTGAATCAATGTTTTTGTGTCCTTTGGGTAGATCCCTTTGAGTCGAATTGCCGGGTCATATGGTAGCTCCATTTTTAGTAGACTGAGGAACCTCCAGACAGCTTTCCATAGTGTTGGACCAGTTTGCACTCCCACCAGCAGTGCAGGAGAGTTCCTTTTTCATCACATCCTCGCCAACATTTGTTGTTGCTTGTTTTTTGATATGTGCCATTCTCACTGGTGTAAGGTGGTATCTCAGTGTGGTTTTAAGATGGGTTTGTTTAAATTGATAGATATTTTCTTCCATGTGTGAAAGATTTTTATTGCATGGTCCAGATTCAGTTCCAATAGTTCCATTACAACAAAGCTCAACACCAGAGAAGTGATCTTCCAGTAAGTTAAAGAATGACAAACTACACCATTCAGCACAAGCATCAAGTTTGTTATTACATTTCAGACATTCTTCCACACTTGACATATTGAGCAAGGAAGCCGAGTTTTCTAAGTGTGTTCAATTTGGAACTAGGAACAAATTTTAAGACATTTTACTCCTCCATGCTTTCAAATCATAAGTAACATGTCAGTCAGGAATCTGTTCACTGTCAACTACCAAACTATGGAAAATGAACAGGTTAGCCTGACGATAATGAGTGGGTTCCAAAGGATAGGTGCTTGGAGAATTCCATGTTGGAACTTTAGATGTATCTATATCTCATTGCCTTCATGGCACCCAGGAAGGGAGTCCCCACCCAGGTGATTGAAGAAAATGACTTAGCCTCAAAGACAGCAAGTTAATAACAATATTTCCAAAAAAATAGGGGTGTCCTTAATTTTAAGAGGACGCAAGGAGAAAGTGAAAGATACAAGAAGAGATATTCTTAGTTATGGGCTGCATGATGGACTTCATGTCTATTGCTGTGTGGCTGGGGGCAGGTCACCTGAGTGAGCTCTTGCAAGCCCCCCTCATTTATCAAGTGCGGGTATTAATACCTATCAGAAGATAGAAAACCAAAATTTCCATTGAATGGGGAAACAAAATGGTTCCCATCCACACAAAGGCATATTATTTGGCATTCATTAGAAGTAAAGTGTGATGCATACTATAATACAGATGAACCTTGAAAACATGCTATTAACTAAGAGTAATAAGTCAGCACATCTTGAATGGATCCATTTACATGAAATGTCCAGAAAAGGCAAATCTACTGAGGCCCAAAGTAGATGAATCTTTCCTAGGACTAGGCGGATAGAAGGAAGGTGAAGTGATGGCAAAGTGGGTAGAGGGGCTTCCTTGTCTAACTTTGACTGTGATGTCAGTTCTATAACTCCATGAATATGCTAAAAACCCCTAAGCTGTACATGTCTAATAGGTGAGTTACACAATATCTGAATTATATCTCAATAAAGCTGCCATTAAAAACAAGACATCAGGTTCATAGTGAAGATTAAATAAAAGGCCTATGCCTCTACTCTAATCTGGATAGGCCCTTGAGGTGATTTACTACAAGTCACCTATCTTATAATGAGGAGGACAAGCAGGGAGGTTAGAGATTGGCCTGATGGAACTGGAAGTGACTGAAGACCTGATATAAAGTCTGCTCAGAGCCACAAAAAAATAAATTAATAAATAAATAAATAGCCTATGAAAGCTCTTCGTTAACTAAGAACCTCCTATATAAAATTAATTTACATAATTACATTCACATTTTCCTTGAAAAAAATGTTTTCAACGCCAGCCCAGTGACCCAACGATATCTACAATAAACCCAAAACTACCAAAGCAGTCACTGTCCACCTGTCCACATGGTCTTAAATTAGCCTGTGTCAGGGCGCTGGAGAAAGCCCAGGGTCTGTGTCTCACTGTCACCCTGTGTCCAACTCCACCTCCATGCTGGAAACGTGGACGCCAGTCACAGGAGACCTCCTCCCCGCCACACTGTGTGCTCTCTTTGTCTGGGCGTGACCCAGCAAAGCAGGGAAGGATAA